TATTCAAGATTCTAAAACCAGTCCCTCAAGCTATTAAAAACATCATTCTGCAACATGAGTTGATGACCAAAGTCCTTGTTGTGAACCTAACATTGTTGTGAGTTCCCTTTGGGGTGAGAAGGGCAACATATAAATGTTGTAAATAATAAATAAATAAATAAATAATAACAACACAAGGATTTCTTGGCAAGTTTTGTTCAGAGAAGAGTTTCCATTGCTGAGAGAGTTTAACTTGCCTAAGGTACACAGTGAGCTTCCAAATCTGCCAAATGCAGATCTGAGTCATGTTTAAGGCAGAATGAGAGTAGACAGTAGGCTTGTGCACTTTGGCTGAACCTTGATCCATTTCTGCTGGCCAGATACCAATAGATCCCCATATCCACTTTTGCACACCTCTGAAAAATGGGTGCGCAGCTGGATGGCCATTTTTGGACCACAGCCAAAAAATACAGCTAGATCCAGCCCACTGGCAGCAATGGGCTCTCCTTCCTGTCGTTTTTAGGGCTATTGGGATGAAAATGACCACACTTGGAGGACACATTTACCACTGGTATCCCACCAAGTTTCCTAATGTATGGGTCATCCCCTGATTTTTAGGAATTTCTTTTCTTTCTCGAAATAAAATCTGAAATAATTTTCTGAAGGAGAGGAGGGGAGATGGTGGATTCTGGTCAAGTTTCTTCACAGATTAAAGCCCAACAAAGTGTTGTAGATGTTCTTGGTACTACTGGCAAGTGGCAACAGTTAGCCAATAATGATTATGATTGTATTTTTACTAGACAATTCAGAAGTCAGAGATGAGCAGCACGGAGAGCTATATAAAGAGAGAACTAGTTTGCAAAGGAATGTGGCAGGTATGGTAACTAGGTAGTTGTTATTTAAGAAGGAGGATTTTGTTTATGTTTTAATAATTATTATATTTTTTAGAAGTATTTTCTGAAGGAGAGGAGGGGAGGAAAAAAGAAGCTAAAGGGCGACTCAAGGCTCTCAGAGTCACCCAAATATTTCTAAAGAAAAGCGCACCACTAGAGCAAAGTCTCTACTCACCAATCCCAACTCCCAGTCAGTCCCACTAAATAAAAAGAATGAAGAAAATCCAGGAAAATAAAAAAAAATCCAGAGAGAGGCCAAGTCAGCCAAGTCAAATAATAAAGCAGGGAGAGAGCAAGCCAGTGAGCAGCAAGGCAATCAGACTGAAGCCAGGATACAACTGTGAGAGAAATGGAAGTGGTTTCCCTGTTACATAAACAAAGCTTGCATTGGCCCAACGGGCAGGGTTCACAAGGAAATCCCATGCGAGCAGTACATAACAGCTTCTTTGCATGCCACGTGATGCCAAATAGGGGAGAAGGAGCCATGATCGGCTGCCATGTGGTCCTGTTACAGATGGGAAAACATGATGGCTGGGCCCTTGCAGTTATGGCCATCCAGTAGAGCAGTGGTTCTCAACCTGTGGGTCCCCAGGTGTTTTGGCCTACAACTCCCAGAAATCCCAGCTAATTTACCAACTGTTAGGATTTCTGGGAGTTGAAGGCCAAAAAGTCTGGGAACCCACAGGTTGAGGACCACTGCAGTAGAGCCAAAGAAGCCAGATTAGCTGAAACAAAATGGCTAAAACGGATCCGCACACAACCTGGGGATCACAACCAGACACAGTGAAGACATCTGCCCTTGCGCAATGCTACTCTGCTGCTGAGTACGCATGCCCAGTGTGGAACACATCTCACCACACTAAAACAGTGGATGTGGCTCTTAATGAGACATGCCGCATTATCACGGGGTGTCTGCGCCCTACACCACTGGAGAAATTACACTGCTTAGCTGGTATTGCACCACCTGACATCCGCCGGGAAGTAGCAGCCAATAGTGAAAGGACCAAGGCAGAGACATCTCCAGCTCATCCCTTGTTTGGGTATCAGCCAGCACGTCAATGACTTCAATCAAGAAATAGTTTTCTAAGATCTACAGAGACACTCGCTGGAACACCTCAGCAAGTGAGAGTCCAAAAGTGGCAGGCTCAAACCCAGAACCTCAATCAATGGCTGATACCAAATAAGACTCCCCCCTGGGCACACAGAAGACTGGGTGACTTGGAAGGCGCTGAACAGACTGCGCTCTGGCACCACGAGATGCAGAGCCAACCTTCAAAAATGGGGCTACAAAGTGGAATCCTCGGCATGCGAGTGTGGAGAAAAACAAACCACTGACCACCTGCTGCAATGCAACCTGAGCCCTGCCACATGCACCATGGAGGACCTTCTTGCAGCAACACCAGAAGCACTCCAAGTGGCCAGATACTGGTCAAAGGACATTTAATCAACTACCAAACTCACAAATTTTGTATTTTGCCTGTTTGTTTGCTTTGTTCTGTTAGAAATGTAATATAATTGACTGGTTGCCCTGACACGACAAATAAAATAAATAAATAAATAACCCTAGTAGAGAATTCCCTTCAATAAGAGGGAATTACAGAGCCTGGGAGACTCTCTGCAGCTCCCTAGAAAGTTTTGCAAGAGATTGGGCAAAGGAAGGCAGGAGAAGGTGACAATGAGAAGTATTTCATTTTCTTTATTCCCATCAGACAGTTCAAGGATGTGTGAGCATCCATGCATCTCCCAGTAGATCTGTTCAGTTTCTCAGGTGATTAGCTGTAATTTTCTGCAGCTGTACTGGAATTAGCAGGGTAATAACAGAGTGGGTGAAACAGATAGAGAAAACTGATCAATTGTTGTTCTTTATGGCCGGAGGAAAGAGGCGTACAAGGGATCTATCATTTCAGCGGGAGACAGCTTGTCATGTAAGAAAAAATTAAAAGTTATTAAGACATTGAGACTGGACTGAGAAATCATTTCTTTATTCGCATCTGAGGAGCTGAAAGGCTTTGGTGCCTCTGCTAATGATGAACAACTTTTGCTTTGAACATGATGAACCGTCATCACTTCCAGTGTTGCTTTCTGTGCGCAGATTGTTCATTAAGCTGATTGACTGGGAGAGGCTTCCTTGAAGGGATTGGGATACATAATTATGCTGATAAGAATGTGCCAAAGATTAATCTCTTTAGTAATTTGGCGGTGACACTGCACTGAGGTTCTTAGAGGGAAGTCTGAACTGTTTGCAGTTTGCTGAGTGGTTCAGACATTGTTGGGTGGAGAGGATTCTTATCTTCCAAAGTCAAGTAGGGTCATACCAGTTTAGGGAGTATATAAGAAGACCTTTTGAGCTTTGGAATGAGAGCCTTGCTCACCTTCAGAGGAATTCTGCAAGATGTCATTCCAAAGAAGGAACATTTCCAAGAAATGTCTTTATTGTTATTAGTCGCTTTGAAGTTGGCATCAACTTATGGCTACTCAACAAATCAGAGGCCTCCAAGTAACTCTATCCTCAATAATTCTGCTCATGTCTTGCCGATTCAGGGCTGTGGCTTCCTTTACTGAGTCTATCCATCAGGAACAGAGTCTTCCTTTTTTCCTACTGCCTTCCACCTTACCAAACATTAATGTCTTTAGGTTCTTGTGGGTTTTTTCGGGCTATATGGCTATGTTCTAGAGGCATTTTTCCTGACGTTTTGCCTGCATCTATGGCAAGCATCCTCAGAGGTAATGAGGTCTGTTGGAAATAGGAAAATGGGTTTATATATCTGTGGAATGACTGGGGTGGGGCAAAGAGCTCAAAGAGCCCAGTCATTCCACAGATATATAAACTCATTTTCCTACTTCCAACAGACCTCACTACCTCTGAGGATGCTTGCCATAGATGCAGGCGAAACGTCAGAAGAAATGCCTCTAGAACATGGCCATATAGCCCGAAAAAACCCACAAGAACCTAATGATTCCAGCCATGAAAGTCTTCGACAATACATTAATGTCTTTTTCTGGTGGGTCTTGTGATACATATGTCCAAGTATGACAGTGTCAGGTTAGTTATCTTGGCTTCTAGGAAAGGTTCAGGTTTAATTAGTTGATTTCTTCACTGTCCATCTTTCAGAACAATACATAGAAATGGGAACAACAATATCCTTGACAAGCCTAATATTAGTATTCAGTGATACGAATATGAACCAGCAGGGGAAGTCCTTCTCTCGGTCCCACCACAATCTCAAGCACGGTTGGTGGGAACAAAAGAAAGAGGACCTTCTCTGTGTTGGCTCCCTGGCTCTGGAATACCCTACCAAAAAGAGATTAGGTTAGCCCCTACCCTTGAAACCTCTTGATCCATCTTAAAACATGGATTTTTAAGCAGGCTTTTGGCCTCAAGTAGTCTGAAATGGGCCCCATGTGAGATTGACACTCTGGCACATTAGTTGTGAATTGATGGCAGCTAGTTTAACTACAGGTGGTCTGTGTTTTTAAGATAGTGTTATTGTATTTTTATATGTGTTGATAGTGGTTGTTTCTATAATTTGTATGTGATATTGTTTTATACTCATGTACCATTTTTGTTATGCTGCACTTGGAGTGCCTTGAAAGCCACCCCGAGTCCCTTTTGGGATATGGTGGCAGGATATAAATAAAGATTATTATTATTATTATTATTATTATTATTATTATTATTATTATTATATATCTTTATACTTGAGGATCCTGTCTAGTTTCTTCATAGCTGTTTTTCTAAGTTTTTTTTCTGTCTTCTTGACAGTTTCCACTCTCATTAATGATTGAGTAAAATAATGGAAAATCTTGACCTATTCCAGTGTCTTCACCATCTGCTTTAAAGTTGTGTAAATAAGCTGTGATTATTATTTTTGTTTTCTTCAATTTCAACTCTGAATCTGACTTTTCATTTTTCCCCTTGATTCTCTTCAGTAATTGTTCCAAGCCGTTGCTATTTTCTGTTAGTAGGATGGTGTCATCTACATATCAAACTGTTGATATTCCTTTCTCCAGTTTTCGTGTCTACTTTCTCGGATTCTAATATAATGTCATATTTTCAGCATTCAAGTTAAACAGATATGTTTGCCTTTCTTTGGCCCAAAACCATTTTTTTCTTGTTGGATCTCCCAGATTGGCCATGACGGGGCCACACCAGAAAGCTCCTGGCTCTTGGATGAAATAACCATCATCGTCCCCACCAAAGGTCTCATGTACACCTTTGTTTGTAAATGCTGGCTGGCCAGGGACATGGGAGATGGCCTTACCTCACGTGTCTTCAACATCCTGGATGCTGACAGCGTCAACATTGGGGTGAAGGTCAGTTCTCCCCTCCCAAATTGCATGGACTATGTAACCAAACACAAGTAAATAAAATCCTTGATTATGTATTCCTGTGTGGGAGTTGAACTGGATGGTCCCATGGCCTCTTTTAACTCTATAATTCTGTTATTCTGTTATTCAGCATCAGATGGGATTCACTTGAATCCTCTCTTTCAAATTTGCAACTATTGCAGTTATCCTTTCTTTGCATATGATTGTGGGATGGAGAGCACTGAAAATCAAACTAAAAACTGCACTGTGCAGTCTCTGAATCCATGCTGTATCAGTGTGCAACCTCATGTACTGCAAATACTCTTCCCTATGGTTGTACATTACACTCAAAAGCAATATGAAAACAAAGGGCCTTCCTCTCCTTTTGCAAACCCTCCAAGTGGAATGGAGAGTTGTAATGTTTCTGAAAATAGAGATATTCCATAAGTACTATGGCTAATAACCACTGTTAGCCGAATCTCCTGATTCTTTTGGAAAAACGTAAGCAAATGTGTACTCCATCCCTACATCCTAAGAATATAAGAAAAACTTTGCAGGAGACAAACCATGCAGTTCTATTTCACTGGTGGGCACCTTCCATTAGCCATGGTTTCATTCTCCTCCTTGAATTCCAAGGAATTCCAGATTTCTTTGCTTTGTCACATAATTTCAGTGGAGCAGTGGGATAGTAGGGAACGATAGAGCCTGTATTCAGTGCATAGGATGAGAATTGCCCATGTCATATGTGTCAAACTCAAGGCCTGTGGGCCAAATTAAGCCCACCATGTTATTTTAGGTGGCCCTCCAGATGCTGGACTACAACTTCTGTACTTCTCATTATTAGACATCATTGATAGAACTGATGGGAATTGTGATACAATGACATTTGGAAGGTTGCAGTTTGCTCAGTTCAATCAGGATAATGGGGTTTAAATTTAGATGTAAGTGTTGTGGATATGACTTTAAATGTCCTTTAACCTTTCGCCAACCTCAGAGCCACAAGTGATGTTGGGTTGCATTTCCCATTATCCCCAGTGTGCATGTCAGATAATCAAAAGTGATGGGAGTTGTCAGGCATGTAGCCGGGAGGGGAGGGGCTTGGGGGGCTTCAGCCCCCCCCCCCCGAAATTCTCATGGTGGTCCGCGAGAAGGCCTTACTGGTATATTATTTAAACTGTTTTGTTTATTCATATCATGGTCTGATCACCATGCTCAATATATCCCATATGCATGGGGGTATTGGGGTAATGATACAAAAGGTTTGCTAGGGTAGACCCTCTTTCACTCAGACTCAGCCCCATTTGACAACTCAAATTTGGTAAAATTTAAAGAGCACCAACCACTATGTTTGGCCCTCTGTACTTATGAATTCTCCATCCATGGATTCAACAGCCCTTTGAAAGCAATCATAAGGCTGATGTGGCCCTCGATGAAAATTGACTTGACCCTCCCCCACCCCCACCCCACTGTATTGTTATTCAGTGACTGTTGGAGAGAGTCAAAGAGGGAACTGGGGATGCATCTGGCTATGTCTCCATGGCCAGGCACAGGCTGATGACATCATCTGCTGAGATCATATCAAAACATGGCATTGTTCTGTGCACAGTGTGAAGAGGTGCAAGGTATATCAAAAAATTTCAATGCTGGCTTCGTTTCATCTCTAATTTCAGTTGGCTTTCTTTCCCATGTCTGGATGTTCATCTTCTCCAGGGCTCAGAAATGTCTCCCTTGCAGAGCTTATGAATTGACTGATATATTCCAAAACCCATCTCATTTTTAACACAGTGGATGAGACTTTGCTTTAAAAAAAAAACCTTCAAAAGGAAGTATGGACTTATGGGTTGCTTCATTTCCACCCAGATTCTGTATGAAGTGACTGTCGTGACCGGAGATATCTCCCATGCTGGAACAGATGCTGGAATTTTTATAACACTCTCTGGATCCAATGGTTGCTCACAAGAAATGCAGTTGGAAAAAAATGGAGATAGGTAACAATTTCTTCACACATTCTCAGTACGGAATTATAATTTCACTTTGATTGTCACAGTTCAATGGACCCAATGGACCATAGAGACATAGTACTGTATTTGTATAGTATGAATGGGAGCCCTCAGTGGCGCAGTGGGTTAAACCGCTGAGCTGCTAAACTTGTTGACCGAAAGGTCACAGGTTCGAATCCGGAGAGCAGCATAAGCTTCCACTGTCAGCCCCAGCTTCTGCCAACCTAGCAGTTTGAAAACATGCAAATGTGAGTAGATCAATAGGTACTGCTCCGGCGGGAAGGTAACAGTGCTCCATGCAGTCATGCTGGCCACATGACCTTGGAGGTGTCTATGGACAACGCTGGCTCTTCAGCTTAGACATGGAGACGTGCACCACACCCCAGAGTCAGACACGACTGGACTTTATGTCGGGGAAAACTTTTACCTTTACCTATAGTATGAATAAGTCCCTCTCACTATAGGCTTTGGTGTTAACATGATTGATGGATTTGGAATAGATATATCCATCCCTTTATTAAACAATTGACAACAGTTTTTAGATGTAAACAACAAAATAGCATAAACCAGATAAAACTCAATAAACATGATATTGTGTTTTTGAAGGCTTTCATGGGTGGAATCACTGGGTTGCTTTGAGTTTACTGGGCTGTATCGAGGTATGTGTGAATGTTGCAATTTTCGACCTTGCTTAGGATTTAATGTCCTGCAGTTTCAAGGCCTAGCTGGTTGCTTCCTGGGGAATCCTTTGTTGGGTGGTGTTAGCTGGCCCTGATTGAGTTTTGTCTGGAATTCCCCTGCTTTTTAAGTCTTGCTCTTTGTTTACTGTCTTGATTTAGAGTTTTTAAATACTGGTAGCCAAGTTTTGTTCATTTTCATGGTTTCCTCCTTTCTGTTGAAATTGTTCACATGCTTGTGGATTTCGATGGCTTCTCTGTGTAGTCTGACATGGTGGTTGTGAGAGTGGTCCAGCATTTCTGTGTTCTCAGATAATATGCTGTGTCCAGGTTGGTTCATCAGGTGCTCTGCTATGGCTGACTTCTCTGGTTGAAGTAGTCTGCAGTGCCTTTCATGTTCCTTGGTTCGTGTCTGGGCAATGCTGTGTTTGGTGATCCCTATGTATACTTGTCCACAGCTGTATGGTATACGGTAGACTCCTGCAGAGGTGAGAGGATCCCTCTTGTCCTTTGCTGAATGTAACATTTGTTGGTTTTTCTTTCTGGGTCTGTAGATCATTTGTATGTTGTGTTTCTTCAGCAGTTTCCCTATGCAGTCAGTGGTTCCATTGATGTATGGTAGGAACACTTTTCCTCTGGGTGGGTCATTGTATTAACTCTCAAAAAGCAGGGGAATTCCAGACAAGAATCAATCAGGGCCAGCTAATACATCCCAACAAAGGATTCCCCAGGCAGCAACCATCCAGGCCTTGAAACTCAAACCATTAAATCCTAATAAGGTGGCAAATTGCAACATTCATACATACCTCCAGCAGACAAGAGCTCTTTCTCACACCCTGGACATTCCACAGATATATAAACCTCACTTACTTAGTTTCCAACAGACCCCCCTCAACCTCTGAGGATGCCTGTAATAGATGTGGGCAAAATGTCAGGAGAAAATGCTTCTGGAACATGGCCATACAGCCCGGAAAACTCATAGCTTGATATTGTTTTTTGATTAGCTATTTCGGATTTATGGCAATCTGAAGACAAACCTATCATGTCATTTTCTAGTTAAGATTTCTTCAGAGGGAGTTCATCTTTGCCTTCCTCTGAAGATAAGAAAGTATGGCTTGCCTTGAGACCATCCAATGGGTTTCCATGGTTGAGTATGATTTCTGGAAATACTAATCAGCCCTCTTCTAGCTTCACCAGACCATAATAACCAGGTTTAGAAGTAGATTTTTTCCATAATGAAACCATTGTAAATATGCTGTACTTCGGTAGATGATGTCACATGCCATGGCTTCATTAGAATTCTGTTTCCATGAAATTGCAAAATGTGCCTCAGACATAATGCTGCCTTCGAATCATCGAGGAAATGAATTCATCCACAGACCTGGAACTAAGGAAGCCTATAACTCTTCCCTCTCTTCATTATCATCCCAGGTGATATGTGAGTGGGAAAGAAGCATATTTTTTAAACTGTCCCAGATAATAAGGCAATTTAATTTACATTAGTTGCACAATAGCTTCCGGGAACACAAATATTGATAAGTGGACACGAGGGCACGAAGGCCCAGCGAAACCCTCTTGAGAAATGAGTCTATAACATGTGCCAAAGCCATTTATCTGTACTCTCACTCACTCCCAGCCACTTCTTTCTCTTGTTAGTCTTTGATTCAGATTTGTGCTCTTGCTTGCATATAAATTACAACTCCCAAGACCTTTCTTGCCATCCAGCCCATCCTTTAAAAGCCTCTATATAATTTAATCAGTCCTGTAATGCTAGAGGTTGGATATGAATCCAGCACAGTTATGAATAGAACCTTTAAGGGTGAGCTAAGGTGCAGCGCGGAGATAATAGACTGCTCAGCCTGAACAGATATGCAAGAAGGTATCTGATGTTGAAGGTGCAGTGACTGAACTAGGGACCTTCCACACATGATATGGGTGATACGGGTGATCTTCCCTTCAGGGAATGAACCTAGTAAGAAATACGTGTTCCAGATATGGTTGAATATAGATAGTGTGATATAATACAGTGATACTATTGTCGAACATGGCACTCAATATTCCACATGGTAGTCCGAGGACCAGTGGTTACTCCCAAGCCATTTGCTGCCAGTATCTGGAAAATTTCCAAGAAAGGAAGAAAGAATTGTAGCCAAAAGGTGCAAATATAATGCTAACATGCCATTCTCTCACAATAAATACAGTAAGTACTGGTGCAGTAGAATCAGACCTTGAAATAATGGAGCAGCAGAATTTTTGACTTATCAGGATACAGTATCCCCTGACTGGCACATCTCTCTTCCTTGGGTGCTTCTCATGAATCCCCACAGTACATGAAAATCCATGTTTAATTGTTTTCAGCAAAAATATCCTGTTGTGAGTTATCCCTTGTTGTGATGCAAAGTGTTCAAGATGGCTCAGTCTCCAATGTCTAAGCAAACTCTATTAGCTTTAAAAATAGATCTTCTAGAGCAGACCTGATGATCAACACAGCTTTCCTACATTTTTTGGTTTTCTATGGGAACAGTCGTATTCTTTCCAATATTGACCATTTCCCTCTGTGGTTGGCAGCTACTAGGCCCAATGCCTTAATGCAGGTGTCCTCGATGTCATACCTGGTTGCTCCCATGAATCCACTCTGGGTTTTGTCCCAACATTGAATGAGCTTTCTAGAGTGTTGTCTTGGAAGATTGAGCACATGGAATGGGAGCCACCAGTCACCATGGCCTACAGATGTGTCTGGTTATCTGAGTATAATGGGAGATTCTGACCAGGGCTTCTTGAAGGCATCAAGGGGAAGCACATTAGCTTGCTGTTGGATGTCTTCAAGTCATTTCCAACTTACGGTGATCCTATTAATGGGGTTTTCTTGGCAAGAGTTGTTCAAGGGGTTTTTGCCTTTGCCTTCCTCTGAAGCTGAAAGTGTGTGACTTGCCCAGGATCACTGAGTGCATCATCAAACTACACCTTCCATGATTCTATAGCATGGAGTCATTGCTAAGTTGGGATCAAACCCTGGTCAGAGTCCTAGTCCAAAAAGCAAACCACTATACCACACTGTCTCTAAGGCTGACTTATCAAGACCATTTTATGGGCCATAGTGTGAGTAAACAGAAAGTGACTCTGGTCCAAAGAGAGTGAAACTTGGGGTTCATCTACACTGTACAATAAATGCAGTTGGACACCACTATAACTTCCATGGCTCCATGCTATGAAATCATGGCAGTTGTCGTTTTACAAACCCTTCAGCCTTCTCTGCTAAAGAGTGCTGGTGCATCATTAAACTACACCTTCCATGTTTCTATAGCATGGAGCCATGGCAGTTAAAGTGGTATCCAACTACATTCATTCTACTGCCTACTGTCTAGATCGGGCAAGGGCAAACTTCAGCCCTCCAGGTGTTTTGGACTTCAACCCCCATAATTCCTAACAGCCTAACAAAACACCTGGAGGGTTGAAGAAAACACCAGGGTCTAGATGCACCCTTGGATCCAGCACTTCCTCAGTTTCTGCATCAGGAAGGATTTAAATGTTGGAGGAAGAAACATGTTTTCTCTTTGCCAAAGTATGTCTTAGGAAGGTCCCAAAGCGAGCCGCAGTCCATTTGGTTCAGAATGCCATCTGGCCATGAATCTCATTTGTGACAACTGCAAAAGTCATGAAGCAGAGTTTGAAAGTAGCAATGGCCAGCTGGTGGCCCATGGGTCGGTCATTCTGTTGAAATTATCGTAATTGCTTTTAAATTTGCATCTATACCAAGACATCAGCACATGGGCAGTTTATGCAGCTCTGTGCCATCTCCTGTCCTCTTTTCGGAGTAAGTTCTGGGAAGCTAATCAGAGTGAATTTCTTGTCGCTGCAGATTTGAAATTGGCCAAAAGGATACTTTTATAATGGAGATCCCAGACATTGCGCCGCTTAGGAAGATGAGGATACGGACTGATGGGGAAGGATGCCGCCCAGATTGGTTTCTGGAACAGGTAGAGCATAGCTGTGTGCTGTTTTTAACTCTTCTGTTGTTCATAGTGATATGAGTGGTCAGTGTGCAGATTTTCATTAAAGGGAAATGTGTCAACCATCAACGTGCTCCTCCTACTGGCCACTGGAAGTCTTTCAAGGCTCCCATTAAGCATCCTCACTAGGGTTACCAAATCTCAGGGCCCAAACATTCTTTTCCAGTTTGCAAGGCAACCCCAGAAGGAGGTAAAAGTATGTGTCTATTCATACACAGTGTTTTCCCTACTAATATTTTTTATTTGAAGGTGTACATTGTGCAACTGTGATTAATGCTGAATACAGTAAGACAGTGTTTCTCAACCTGGGGGTCGGGACCCCTGGGTGGGTCACGAAGGGGTGTCAGACGGGTCGCCAAAGACCACCAGAAAACAGTATTTTCTGTTGGTCGTGGGGGTTCTGTATGGGAATTTTGGCCAATTCTATCATTGCTAGGGTTCAGAATGCTCTTTGATTGTAGGTGAACTATAAATCTCAGCAACTACAACTCCCAAATGTCAAGGTCTATTTCCCCCAAACTCCACCAGTGTTCACATTTGGGCATATTGAGTATTCGTGCCAAGTTTGGTCCAGATCCATCATTGTTTGTCCACAGTGCTCTCTAGATGTAGGTGAACTACAACTCCAAAACCCAAGGTCAATGCCAAACCCTTCCAGTATTTTCTGTTGGTCATGGGAGTTCTGTATGCCAAGTTTGGTTCAATTCCATCATTGGTGGAGTTCAAATGCTCTTTGATTGTAGGTGAACTATAAATCCCAACAACTACAACTCCCAAATGACAAAATCAATCCCCCCCACCCCAACCCCACCAGTATTCAAATTTGGGCGTATCAGGTATTTGTGCCAAATTTGGTCCAGTGAATGAAAGTACATCCTGCATATCAGATATTTACATTACATTCATAACAGTAGTAAAATTACAGTTACGAAGTAGCAACAAAAATAATTTTATGATTTGCGGTCACCACAACATGAGGATCTGTATTAAGGGGTTGCAGCATTAAGAAGGTTGACAAACACTGCAGTAAGATCTCTCTATTTGTCAGGGGTATGTTTCCACCCAACTGTGGTCACCTGAAGCTATGCATATCATTTCAAGGAATTGGCTAGGTCTTCCAATGCAACTCTGTGGTAACTTCTGAAGGAAGCCAATTGCAGAATCACCTGGAGGACCTAGCAAATTCCCAGAGAAACCATTTTCCCTGAGACACAGGTAAGTGAAAACACCAATAGGGGTTATTATATTTCATGTTTGATGGCATCACCAAAGTCTGACATTTGTAACATCAGCCATGAACCATCACTGGGGTCTGCCTTTCTGTGATACCACAAGGGTTTATCTTTAGATCTCTGGTTTTGGTCCTTGGATACTATTGACTGGTATTTCAATGCATGCAACACATGTATTTCCTCTCTGTGACTGTAAGGCTTGAACTTAAGTGATGCTGAAATCTATTAAATAGTAAACATCATATGTGACCCAGTGTCATTTGCATACAAAATAGATACACTGTTGTTGCATATGTTCAAAGCTGACTTTGAAATAATATATAGGTTGGGTAGCCCTTAATATCCTTAGAAATCGTTTTAAAATGCTGAGAAGTGCAATCCAACCATATCTGGAAGGCCAAGGATGGACCATCTCTTTTCATCCAAGAGCCAAATTCCATTCTAGAGAAGTTCACATGGTCAACAGGTTGCTTTCCTTGGACTTTTCCCTCCATTTTTTCCCCAAGCCACATTCTTAATTCCTTTTCCCATTTACATTCATTTTCCTATTTGTATTAGATGTACATATTTTAAGATCAGCAATACCATGTACGCTATCCCCAATTGTAACCCCTCAAATAAATAGGTCCTCTCCTGTTGTTTAGCTCTCCCTGTCCCCTATATGCATGTTTTTACAATATAGGAAAATATTTGTTTTTGTTGTGTCACCTCAGTCTTGGATGCCCTGAAACTGTTTAAGCCTTTCAAACCCAAAAAGAGACAGATTCAGGAAAGGAGAAACTAAAACTTTCATAGAATCATAGAATCAAAGAATCAAAGAGTTGGAAGAGACCTCATGGGCCATCCAGTCCAACCCCTGCCAAGAAGCAGGAAATTGCATTCAAATCACCCCTGACAGATGGCCATCCAGCCTCTGTTTAAAAGCTTCCAAAGAAGGAGCCTCCACCACACTCCAGGGCAGAGAGTTCCACTGCTGAACGGCTCTCACAGTCAGGAAGTTCTTCCTCATGTTCATATGGAATCTCCTCTCTTGTAGTTTGAAGCCATTGTTCCGCGTCCTAGTCTCCAAGGAAGCAGAAAACAAGCTTGCTCCCTCCTCCCTGTGGCTTCCTCTCACATATTTATACATGGCTATCATATCTCCCCTCAGCCTTCTCTTCTTCAGGCTAAACTTAAGCCGCTCCTCATAGGGCTTGTTCTCCAGACCATTACTTTATGCAAAGAGGAAGCCACATGGTGAATGGGTTGTTGTAGGTTTTTTTCGGGCTATATGGCCATGTTCTAGAGGCATTCTCTCCTAATGTTTCGCCTGCATCTATGGCAAGCATCCTCAGAGGTAGTGAGGTCACTACCTCAGGATGCTTGCCATAGATGCAGGCGAAATGTCAGGAGAGAATGCTCCTGGAACATGGCCATATAGCCCGAAAAAAACTACAACAACCCAGTGATTCTGGCCATTCAGAACTTACTAATTGGCTAATGCTGCATCTTACGTGCTTGTAACTAGCTACTGTTCTACAGCCTAAATACATGAGTGTAGTTCCTTGTGTGCATGATCAGCACATGTTTCCTGCCAGGTGTTTGCCTGCATGTCCTTGGCTTTGTAACTTTTTTTCTTTTAAGCAAACACCTCATGTTCAGTCATAAAGAAAGTCATACTTAGCATAAACTATAATGTATCTAATGGTATTTGATCGCCCCATGTGTCTAACTAAGGAGTCCCTGGTGGCATAGTGGGTTAAACCCCTGTGCCAGCAGGACTGAAGACTGACAAGTCACAGGTTCGAATCCGGGGAGTGGCGGATGAGCTCCCTCTATCAGCTCCAGCTCTCCATGTGGGGACATGAGAGAAGCCTCCCACAAGGGTGGTAAAACATCAAAACATCCGGGCATCCCCTGGGCAACATCCTTGCAGACGGCCAATTCTCTCACACCAGAAGCGACTTGCGGTTTCTCAAGTTGCTCCTAACATGACAAAAAAAATGCATCTAACTGATGACTCTCATATTGATTTATAGAAATATTAACGTTCTACCTTATATCCTTGCATCCAACATATCTGTTACATGCCTAAAAAGTTTTACCATCAACTTATCTGTGAATCAAAGCAAAATTCGTAATTTGGCCCCAAAATCTGTCCTTAACCTAACTCAATTTATACATGAGATCAATTTATACATGAGTATTTAGCAGACATGGACAAACTTCAGCCCTTCTAACCGGCTGTTTAGAATTGTGAGAATTGAAGTTCAAAACACCTGAAGGGCTGAAGTTTGCCCATGCCTGATATATAGGGCAAACAACAACATATGTTGTTGTTTATTCATTCAGTTACTTCCGACTCTTCATGACCTCATGGACCAGCCCACGCCAGAGCTCCCTCTCAGCTGTCACCACCCCCAGCTTCTTCAGAGTCAAGCCAGTTACTTCAAGGATACCATCCATCCACCTTGCCCTTGGTTGGCCCCTCTTCCATTTTCCTTCCATTTTCCCCAGCATCATTGTCTTCTCCAAGCTTTCCTGTCTTCTCATTATGTGGTCAAAGTACTTAATCTTTGCCTCTAATATCATTTTCTTCAGTGAGCTGTTGGGCTTTATTTCCTGAAGTGTGGACTGGTTGGATCTTCTGGCAGTCCAAGGCACTCTCAGAATTTTCCTCCAACACCACAGTTCAAAAGCATCTATCCTTTCTATCTATCCTTAGCAATCCTTTGCTAAGTTGGGGCATATTCTCCAAATGAAGTCTAGAAAGCCACAAAATGGTGGTATCATCCATGCAGAAGGGGACATGACTATCTGGTGAACCCAAAAGGTTTGGAATAGAACCACAAGACTGTTGTATTCTGCCCAGGGCTTGAGGTTCCCTAGACTGATTTGACAGCATGTCTCCCAAGTTTTTAGATAAGTTTCCCCCCACAGTCTACCGGATGGCAAGCAGTGAGTCTGGATCTGTCTGCATGCAAACAAATGTTCTTCCGTCAAGGTACATCCCTTCCCCAAGGACGGCTGGAGTGCCTTGTCAACAATGGTGTGTCCTTCATTTCAAGTGTTTTCTCCCTCCTATGGAGAGCTTTCCATCCCTTCATTATTTTTTTACATCCCAAGAGAGAGTAATAAGGCAAGTCGGCTTTCTTCCTGGCAAGGTCACATATTTCAGTAATGTTTCCTCCAGTTCCCCACTTCTTATCTTGGCAGAACCCTGGGAGATCTGTGAGCAAAGCCAAGCACAACCTATAATTTTGCCCAAATGGACTCTCTGCTGTTAAGACTTTATTAGGAGGCAACTCTGGCACAATGCCACTGCACCTGCAATGCATTACAAATCTGCTTTTGTGATGGGAGCTCAGAGCTCATTGGGGTGGAGGGAAGGAAAAGTAGCTGCCCTAGACTTTTTGAGAAAATGTTACTTATCCTGGGTGAGTGAAGGCCAAAACTGCCTTGAATGCAAACCATTTTTGAAAAAGGTCGATTGCAACAAAACTCTCAGTTATTTTTTTATACCATTTTGTCTTTCCAGTTCTCTCTCTCTGGTTTTCTCCTATACACTGTGCCAAATATTGATGTTTTCTTTGTAATTCCACTATTTTTTTTAAATGCAATTATATCACACGGCAATAATAGTAATAATATAACTCATTTTCAGCTGGGCTATGTATGCACAAGGTTGTTTTTTTTTCCTTTTTGTATTGGCACTTTGGAAATTTCCATTTTATGCTTAACGGATCATTCCATAAT